AAAGACTCAAACTTATTTAATCACTAATTCACCAAGTTTGAGTCATAACCCAGAGAGCAGGTCTGTTGACTAAGACGATACCAGGTAAACACAGTCACTTTTCAGAGTAAAACAACACTTTTAAAATATCAACACTCTTTTTGTAATATATAAAAAGGAGAGAAATATACTTCTCCTTTCAGGAGCAGTATATGCCAGCTGGCTGCCACCTTCTATTCCCGTGATGACTATATTTCGGTGCTGTTGTGTATATAAAGTTTGTGAAGGGATTTAGGGTCCTTTGGGATGAAATGTGATTGTCCTGGTCCAATGATTCTTTAATTAGTTATACACAGTGCAACCGCTTGAAAAGGTAAGGTTGAGAAAGGGAGAGTTCAAAATATTTCATAGCCTAATGGTTGAAGTGCTCATCTGAGAGGAAGAAGGCCCCTCCCCATGTGAAACCTTTATCCTCTTCAGGCAAAGTAAAGAATTGCTTTTGGGGGTTCCCACCTCTCAGGTGAAGATCCTGACCAGTGGACTAAAAGTTATAAACTGGGAGGCTCAAGTGTTCCTACAACTGAGGCTAATGGGCAAATTCATCACTTTCATAAGTAGATACAGCCTCTCTTACTTCAGCAGAATTGGTCTTTCTTTCATAAGAAGGGAATTTGCTCCATTGTTTTTACTTAGCATTATTTATTTTGACTTACTAAGTGCCTCTCACAGCTTCTAAGCACTATATGCTGTTAGAACTACCCAGTACAAAATGAAACATGCACATCATAGGTAGCAAGTGACCTGTGCAATATATTTTACTTGCTTGTCTGAATAATAAAAATCACACACACCCCTCTACATTTACACACAGTAGCTCTTAAATCTCTGTTCCCAAAATGCATAGGAAAACAGATGAGCTTTGCAAACAAATCTGGGTTATGGCAGACCAGTAATGTAGAGGGGCAAATTGCAGAGGGAAGGACCACACTCATAAAATGCCCCTCCAGGAACCCCTTTCTTGTGCCTCATTCATTATTCCTCACTGCACCAGGGATGGTATCATATGGCAAGAGAGTTCTTGTAGAGCTAATAAAATGTGTAAAATCATCAGATTGGCTAATCCTTCTGCCACAGTTATCAGTTGAAACTGACATTTCACTGATATCCTGACTCCGCATGAACCACAAAGAAACATCAGGCTACCATTTGTAATTTTGTAAACAGGAATATTAAAAGCTATTCAGCTTTGCTTCCTGCAGGTGATCCCACCCAGATGCATATCACTGCCTGTTGGAGCAGCAGTGGGAGGAAAAAATGAAAGGGAATTTCTTTTCCCATGAGGCACTGAGTCTTGAAATGTATTCAAGTTCAAAATGTGCAACAAGAGCAACACAGTTTCTTTAAAGCTGCTTCTTTCATGAGTGCCTCCCACTGGCATTGTGACAAGCCAGAGCGGCAGTGCGAGAAGCTGCTTTAGAGAAACACTGCATAGGATTTCCTTATTGGAACAGAGGCAGGAGGCAAAAAATGAAAAACTTGTGGGCACTTGCTCTTGGGCAAGGAAAATTAACACTAAAAGAAGCAGACTGATGCCCAAAATGCGCTGGGAGACAGATGCTGAAAATGGGATATTTGCCATATACAATATACAGGCTTAAGCCTGTGCTCCTTCTTATTACCATTTGTAAGGGCTGCAGGATCCAAACATCTGTTACAGATAAAGCGCCTAATAGACATTGACATGATATTTTATTTTAGAGGTTACAGTTCACATGGTAGTTTTTCTGTATGTCTTACTATGCAAGCAGGAGTATTGTGTTGAGAATTAAAATGGAACTGCTGAATTTAAATAAGCAGCAGGATTAACCTTGACATCTGACAGAACAAGCAGAATATATAATCATTATTTCTGAGGCATGGACTTAATCCCAGTCCCATTTAAGAGAAGAAACACCTTCATAGCTTATTACTGCAGAATCAGTGCCTCGCTCCTAGAAAATCAGTTCCTTACTGTGAGAGACAGCTTGACTATTGGCAGAAGTGACTATTCAAGAGAATCATTCTTGGATCTTTTGCTCCCCACACTAGCCTGAAGGTGACAGGCCTAAATTGTGAATTTGGCTTGAAAATAAAGATTATAAATTGTCATTTGGGAGCTCAGCTCTGGCAGTAGACATCTTGCTGATATCACTTTTGCAACACCAGAAAGATGGGTAGTCAATGTCAGAGATTGCAAACCAAGTTGCAACCTGTTGTGATACATGCTTGACAATCCAGAAAACAATATTGCTGTTTAAACATGAAATAACGTGTTGACATATGAAACATGAATGTTCCTCTTGATTGCATTAAACCAGTTTTGCAACAACATAGCTATTAATCAGCAGATTCTACCATGGTGGATGTTAGTGCTCTGCCTTCTGTGGAACACTGGTCATGATCTCTAACCCCTGGGGGTTTGATTCTTCTTTCACTTTTGCTAGTGTTAAGTAGGGATGTGAATGGCTAACTAGTTAACCAGTGGGGGCTGGAACTGCACCCCACCCATCACAGGCAGGGGGCTGCTCCAGCCGGGGTGCTCCAGCCTGGCCAGAGCAACTGCTGTTGGTGGCAGGCCTGGCCCAGGTGTACCTCAAACTGGGAGTGCTCCAGCCCAGCTTGAGCAGCGCCTGTCCACAGCAGGGGGACCACTCCAGCCTGCCTGCAGCAGACAGCCCCCTCTGGCCCACCAGTTAATCATTGCATTTAATCAGTTACATGGGATTTTACATCCCTTGTGTTAAGCTGGAATTAGTCCCTCTAAATCAGGGAAGTTATAATTAAAGCTAGTATAAATGGGAGGGGAATCAGGTATTAGATTATATTGCAAAAGTTTTTAGCCAAGCAACTCCCTTGCTGGGAAACCACAGTGATAAATAGATGACAGAGAGACAAGATGGATGAGGCTATATCTTTTATTGGACCAACTCCTGTTGTTGAAAGAGACAAGCTTTTGAGCTATCCGAGCTCTTCTTCATAGACTTTAAGGTCAGAAGGGACCATTATGATCATCTAGTCTGACCCCCTGAACAGTGCAGGCCACCAAATCTCACCCACCCCTCCTAGAATAATCCTCTCACCTATATCTCAGATATTGAAGCCTTCAAATACTTTGAAGACCCCAAGATGCAGAGAATCCTCCAGCTGTGATCTGTACCCCATGCTACATAGGAAGGCGAAAAACCTCCAGGGCCTCTGTCAATCTACCCTGGAGGAAAATTCCTTCCCGACCCCAAATATGGCGATCCGCTAAACCCTGAGCATGTGGGCAAGACTCATCAGCCAGACACCCAGAAAGTTCTCTATAGTAACTCCTATCATCCCCCCATTGACCTATTTCCCACTGATAATGAATGGTCAATTAGTTACCAAGATCATGTTATCTCATCAAACCATCCCCTTCATAAACCCATCTAGTTTAATCTTGAAACCAGATAGATCTTTTGCCCCCACTACTTCCCTTGGAAGGCCGTTCCAGAACCTCACTCCTCTAATGGTTAGAAACCTTCATCTAATCTCAAGTCTAAACTTCCTACTAGCCAGCTTATATTCATTTGTTCTTGTGTCCACATTGGTATTAAACTTAAATAATTCCTCTCCCTCCCTGGTATTTATCCCTCTAATATATTTAAAAAGTGCAATCATGTCTCCCCTCAGCCTTCTTTTGGTTAAAGTAAACAAGCTAAGATCCTTGAGTCTCCTTTCATAAGACAGGTTTTCCATTCCTCGGATCATCCTATTGGCCCCTCTTTGTTCCTGTTCCAGTTTGAATTCATCCTTCTTAAACATGGAGACCAGAACTGCACACAGTATTCCAAATGGGGTCTCACCAATGCCTTGTATAATGGCACTAACACCTCCTTATCCCTACTGGAAATACCTCGCCTAATACATCCCAAGATTGTATTAGCCTTTTTCACGGCCATGTCACAATGACGGCTCATAGTCATTCTATAATCAACCAGGACTCCGAGGTCCTTCTCTTCCTCCGTTACTTCCAGCTGATGTGTCCGCAGCTTATAACT